GTCTGCTGGAGACCCCACTGCTGGATTTGGATGTGTGCAGAGAGCTTTGAAAAATTACTAGACACAGAAAAAAATAATAATAGGAACTGAATGATAAAGGAGTCTTAAAATCCAGATATAGAAGGAAGAACAAATACTAACAGCACGCCCTGTAAGTCTGGGATGTAATAGCCAACAGAATTCTCCACAAAATAGGCACTGAACAAACGAGAGGTGATTCGTCTTTAGACTGTCTGCAAATAGTGAGGATGTTGTAATAAAAGCTGCTTGTGATCACTCAATTCAAGCCTATTTTTCACAAATTGGTTCAGTTTAAGCAAAATAAAAGCAGTCCTTTAAGGTTTTTAATTTCAAAAAGAAAAATTGAGGTAATTAAGGGAATGAGTTTGAGAAGCTGATGGGGTTGAATGGCTGAAAGGCTCCAACAAGAAGACCTTAAAACCAAAGGGGAAAAACCATCTGCCATTTGCATCATGAATCGAGGAGGCAAATAAAACAGCACATGTAAGGAAGCTGGAGATTGGAGATAGTCACAGTCAAGACCCCAGATTGAATACAGATGCTGCCTTGCAGCTGAGTAACAAGGAGAGTAGGGGCAAAGGCATTGTGGGGTACAAGAAAGTCTCCCTGCAATTGCCCAGCCAGGGAGAAATCAATCCCACTGCTCAGCGCCCTCTGTTCAGGCTGCTGAAACATCAAGTCCGCTAGCTAGTACTTCTAACAAGTCTACACAATCCCTCAACTAAAATACGGAAATCTTCACAATAAAAGCCTTGAAATGCTGGAATAAACCTCCTCGTCCCACAGCCCATGTTTGAAAGTGCCTATGCGCATGTGTGATTTTCTTCTGTAACCACACGGCATCCCATTGTTATAGCCTGCTTCAACTGACATCTTTCCCAAATCATGGAGGCCTCTACAACATAATACCTCTGCTGAAGGAAGGAGGGCTAGAGACAGCAGCGTTCAGGGAAGCCACTGCAATCAGTTCCAGATAAGACCTGAGAACAGAGTCTGAATCAAAACATAAAAGGCACAGAAATACTCAGTGTAAGTGCACCCTGAGATCAAAGATTCATTGTGCTAAAATAGCTTGGCACTCATCTTTGATAAAATAACTAGGTTCTTTTGACAAAAAGGCAGTTGGTCTTCTTTACTGTGATTTTAGCAAAACGACAAGGAATCGGGGACTTTCAGTAAAGGGGGGAAATGGGGATCGATAAGGAGAATGGTGAGATCGATAATAATCACGGGTGTCCATTAAGTGCTGCAGGTTTTTTTGAAAAGCAGCACTACAAAGTTAAATAATAAGTAATAATTGACATAGTTTTGAGCACAATCTATTTCAAGGCCTAACTTTACTATAATGTACCCAAAATGCTTTGAATTTTAAAAAATATATATCTAAGTAGTACAGGCCTGCTGCCAAAATCGACCACTAAAATAGGGAAACAGTTGCCAGCTGCTGCTTTTTCCCAATGCAGAAAGGATATTTCCTTCCTTCCATCTGTAGGTCACTCAATTCAGTTATTAGTGCATTAGACACAGAGAAACCAGCTTCAAGCTGAATCAACATGAAAATATTTCTCAGAATTACAACCTTCTATTTTTTTTCTCATACCTGCAGGATTTTTAAGTGTATTTGCAAATGCACAGGAACGGAAACCCCGAGTCTGATCCCTTAATACTGAAGTCAGTCAACCACATTGCGTAATCTCATTAATAAATTTATCAGGCTCCATCTTCACAGTAATTGGGTTTTTAGCCCCAGTTGCACAATTCCCATTAGGAGGCTATTCAAGAACCTCCCTTCGTTTGAAGCCATTCTGCTCATTTCCAGCCTAAACTTACTCAGAGCCATTTGTTCTTGTGCCAGAATTGTCATTTAACTTAAATAACTCTTCCCCCTCTGTGGTATTTATGCCAGTGTATTTATAGAGAAGGAATATAATTTTTCTCTGCCTTTTTTTGTCACTGGCTTCCCATCCAGGCTCCCTTTTTGTGAACCAGCTCCACTGCTCTCGAGATCATTTCCAGTGGACACCCTCCCCTACATCTTTTACAGTTGAAATCAATCTTTCTCCTACATGGACAAGGAATACATAGTACATTTTAAACAATGCCTCACTAAAACCTGTTGTGGTAGCATTCACATTTCCTTGTCACTAGTGGAAATAACTTGGTTGACTAATGTGGTTCTATTATGCACCTTTATCACCAGGACACGAGAATTACCCTATGATTGATTAATACATTCCAATTCCAAGACAGAAGCCCCAACTTTCTCTCAGAACTTGCATTAAAAAAAGAACTTGCATTTGCCTACAGGCAGATTGTACTAAAGTCATTTATTTTTCTGATGTGATGTCCTATTTTTTCCTCTTTTGGTGACACCTACAAATCCCATTGATTTCTGCTGTATCATTCGTCAATACACTGATTAACACTGGTCTTGAGATCAGTCCTTGAGGAACACTTGCTAACTTGCCCAGCAATCCTTTTTCAACCGTCGTACCTTTTCTCCTATGACTACAGGATTTATTGATGCAAAACAGAGAGCAAAATACTTCAGTTCTGATTGACTTAAACTGTCTTGCTTTACATTTTTGTCTTTTTTTTCCATAACAAAAGGCTGACTTTTGCTGGTGGAGCACAATAAAGGCATATTTCTCCATCAATCAGGCCTCTGGCTAAACTGGAAAGCTGTCCTATTTTTACAGTTGGGCATTCATAAAAATTAATAAACTATGCAAGTCAACACATTTCATGTTAAAAATGGTAAATGAAGTTTCTTAATGACTAGTCTAACTTTTTAATTGTGCTTAGGAGTTATGTCACAAATTGAAAAAAACAATTAGAATGCAGGAAAAAGGTATGTAAAACTTTAAGCTGAATGTGCTGAATACATAGTTTAAATTAAAACAAACTGGTTTATTGTACAGAGGAATTCTGCAGCCTATAAATAGAACCAATTTCTATCTATTCAGCATGTCGTCAGGTTCTCAGAACTTGAAACAAAATTAATTTCTATTCTCATGCAAAGGAGGAGCGGATGTTCCACTTATATGAATATAGCAAGAACTAATTCATTAAACATTTAAACACAGATCACTTCTGCAGTTCAGTTGCCCATGCAGCCATGCCTGTAACGTGTGGTGTTAGCAGGACAAAGGAAGCGCAAAATTAGCAAGCAAAGGTGGACAAAGGGGAGCAGGACTGCTCCTGCTAATTGTAGTCCTGCCTCAAATGTTGTGAAAGTATATTCACAGGTGTAGTTTGGGGGCAAACTGAGCTGATGTAGACTGTACTCATTGCAGTCCTGTGAGCTTCCATGGGCATTTGCAGTATCGTTTCTTGGCACTGGTGATGGCAAGAATGAATCACAGAATCCCAGGTTGGAAAGGACCTCAAGGATCATCTGGTCCAACCTTTCTAGGCAAAGCATGACCAAGACTAGATGGCCCAGTACCCTGTCCAGTCAGAGCTTAAAAGTGTCCAATTCTTGGGAGTCTACCACTTCCCTGGGGAGATTATACCAGTGACTGGTTGTTCTTATGGTAAAAAATTTTCCTCTTATGTCAAACTGGGATCTCCCCAGGAGTAACTTGTGCCCATCACCGCATATCTTTTCCATGGGACTCCTTGTAAAACGGAGTCTCCATCTTCTGTATAGCCACCTTTTAAATACTGGAACATGGAGATAAGGTCTCCCCTGAGCCTTTTTTCTCCAAGCTGAACAAGCCGGGCTCTCACCCTTTCCTCAAACGGGTGCCCAGTCCTTGGATCATCTTTGTGGTTCTTCTCTGGATCCTCTCCAGTGGGGACCAAAACTGGACACACTGTTCCAGGTGTGGCTTGAGAAGCACTGAGTAGAGTTGGAAAATGACATCTTTATGTCTGCTGGTGATGCCCTTGTTGATGTTCACCCAGCATCCTGTTGACTTTCTTTGGACAGAACTGCACACTGTTCAATTCTATTGAGCCTGCATCCCCCAGGAATCCCAGGTCACTTTCCACAGAGAAGCTCCACAGCCAAGTAGATCCCAGCCTGAGGGATTTGGACTCCATACAGAGTAAGACAGTTCAAGGAACTAATCAAGAACTATGTCTGCCAAAGAAGGTGATTTCTCTTGTTTTTTCCTAAATGCAAACCCATGCATTCAGTGCTGGGTGACAGGTGTGCAAACATTGGCTTCTTTAATTTAGTTATCATTCATAGATCTCCTTAAGAGCAGATCTGTAACAACCAAGTCAGTAAGGCTGTGGTTCTCAGCAGAGATCGATGCAAGCTGCTTGGACCTAGTGAAGGAGAGGACCATGTACTGACACAACCCTGCGTACACACTGCCCTCCTCCTATCCCTTCTCTCCCTCCCTATAAATTCATGCCTACATGCACAAACTCCGCAGAAACACACAGCCTGACGCAGCACATCAGTTTGAAATCTCATCAGCAACAGAACCAAGCAATGAAGCTTTTTATGGTGCAAGTACAGAAAAACAGAGATCAATGAGAGGGGCAAACCAGATAATGAACATGGAAGTACCTCCAGCTGGAGTGGGGAGGGATTTGATCTACCACAGTACGTACGCTGCTATGGATCAGGAATTGTTGTCCCCAGTAATCATTACCTCAGTCTGAGCCCTAGGAAGTTGCTTCAGCTTCCTTATTGGAAGGACATTCTCCAAGTCTTCCTCATTCACCTTGTCAGTTCTGAAGTGCTTTGAGATCATCCAACAGATGACAATAGTTGTGCTTATTCAGTACCAGTACGGGCTCCCAAGAGAGCCAGAACAAACAATAATATGCCCTTCTGATTACAGCAATATTCTACTAAAACCACTGTGTATATCGAGTTGTAAATTCAATCAAATTTAAATAATAAAAACCTTCCCTTTCTCTCACCAGTGACAGAACAGTACAACCCTTTGCCTTTTTTTTTTTTGGTAATTAAAAATAGGTTGAACTTTAGGAGTGTTATTGCACCACTTGAAGCAGTAGAAGAAGTGGACTAAAGTGCATCATAAAAAGATGCCACTGGGATCAGTTAAAGTCAACAAAATAGAAAACATTTAGAAGGAACAAAGCCAAAAGCCCAGAACCAGATTTAAACGTGGCATATGCTGTGGCAGGAGGCCAGTGGAAGGAGAACTTGCTAGAGGAGTAACAACAGGGAGAGCTCCCTGCTGCAGCCCATGGGTCAGGTATGATCGGCCAGATAATCAGGTGTCATCAACTAGTGCAGCTGGGATAAGATCAATGAAGCAATGCCTGTTTCAACTTGCCGAAGCTCCAGCCTGGCATATCTGAACTCAGCTGTAAAAAATTCTCATCATATTACGCCATGCCATTATAAACATTGAGCTGTTATACACCACTTGCCATCTTCAAAGAGCTTTAAAACCTAATCCTTGCCACCACCTCCTTAGATGCAGGAACTGTTTTATAAAGATGGAAACAAAGGCAAAATGGTGAAGTCACTGGCCATGGCTCCTAAAAGGTTATTTTTAAAACTAGCCAAACACAAGGTAGAAATTCAGAGATCCCAGTCACAAAGTCCCTTCACCAGGCAGAATTTCCCTGTGTTTCCTTGACAGCAGGAGACATCTACTCCCTAAAATATTTGCCCCCAAACCTGAAACCTCATATATAGATTCTTCTCAAGTGTATATAAGACTGATTTTGTATCTTCTCTGCACAGGCAGGGATCAGCAAAGCAGCAGAGGAAGTAAAATGAGTGAAGTGATGCTATGATGGAGATCAACAGGAAGTTTTGGCCACTAACTTGCATTTCAGCTGATGTGGTTTAACCAAGGGAAATAAAGGACAAAAAAAGGCAGCTAAGCCTCCTCACTATAAGGTCAGTAAATCACAATTCCTAAATTCTTTTCTCCATTTCAGGTTTTTTCTTCAGGGAAACAAAATTATCTTAAAATTTACAAGAAAGCTATGAGTACAAAGTTACTAATGCTCTGCTCAGCAGAGATCTTCAGAGGAGCCTAGAACTAAAAGAATATTTTAACAAAATGCCAGAAACAGGAATAAGTTACTGAAGGGAGAATAAACCCAACACACTTGTGTTTCTAAGCACCTCAATAATGTTATCAATAAACCCAGATGCATCCTTTCCACAAATGCAGCAGTGACAATTGATTCAAATAGATGACACTTCTGTAATGTGCCTATTTGACTCTCAAGCTGAAGCAGATAAAAATTCAAAGATTTTACTTCCTTGGTATTTGTATGTTAATACACACAGCTTTAGGGAAATTGTTGCGACTCAACTTACATTTCATTCTGCACAGTGAGTGACATTCAAGTACCTAACCGCAAGTTTCATAGTGCTCCCAGTCATAGCATTCACATCTCATAGGCTGTCATTAGCCTGATGCATTATCTTTTTTGGAAAAAAATCTGTCATGAGCACCAGGCTCCCCTTGGTTCAGACAGGCAGGAGGAGAGCTGACTCATCCTCTTTTTTCCCTTTCATCCTGATTTGTATTGTCTCCTTTTCAATTTAGTTTTCCCATGTTATATAAGGAGAAGGAGACGGAGACTCCCTTTTTTACAAAAACTGGAAAGATAAGGGGTGATGGCACACGTTACTTCTGGGGAGATTCCAGTTGGATGCTAGAGGAAAATTTTTCCCAGTGAGAACAACCAGCCATTTGAATAATCTCCCCAGGGAAGTGGTGGATTTCCCAACATCGGAGACTGTTAAAATTTGGCTGGACAGCGTGCTGGGCCATTTAGTCTAGGTCATGCTTTGCCTAAAAAGGTTGGAGAAGGTGACCCTTGAGGTTTCTTCCAACCTGGTATTGTAGGATTCTATGAAGGGGTATGGCTACATGTATGTATAATATGTGTGCATGTGCAAAGGACGACAAGAGAAAGAATGTGTTTTGAACCTCCACCTATTCCTCTTACAGTTCCTTTTTGCTTCCTCTCCTTGGAGGTATTTTATTATGAAATTCAAATGAGTTCTCCTTTCTGTTGCTTTGTTGAAAGAGAAAAATAGGACACAAAGCCAGCTAGGAGGAAACGTTCATGATCTGGAGTCCTTGGACTTCCTGAAGTTTCTTGCTGTGTTTCTACAGAAAGTGGGTAAGCAGCTACACCTCGCACCAAGCCACTAAAGTTTCTCCATCACCAGCCAGTTTTAACTAGGGCTGGTTTCACCCAAACCACCACTGCACTTAAAACAAGTTTGACTGCAAATAGAGACCTCCATTCATGGAACTGGGGTCTACCAAGGCAACAGGGGGGCCATGCATTGACTTTGGTTGATCTTATGACTGAGTTGGAAGATCTCTCCCTCATAGAGACTGTCTGATACCCACTCATGCAAACTGGAGCTGCACCTCTCCCCAAGGCTCAGTAAGTATGTGGGCTGTCTCTTATGCCTGTCTGTTTTTCATTAACTTATGCAACCTCAATTACACTTGCAGTCCTGTATCTCTTTGTCAGGCTTGACTGAAACAGGACAACAGGTTCAGAAGTTACTGGGTTGAGCAAACATGCATATATGTGGAATGGTAAGAAACCTGGGTGAGTCTGAGTCTCATTTTGCAAAAAAAACGACACAGATGATCGTAAGGGCAAAACAAGGGAGTGCCACCATGGATCCAAGCAGAGATCCCAAGCAGTGAGCTATCCACAGTGAAGAAACCAAAAGGTTTAGGTGTAGCCACCTGAAACAGTCAGTTATTTGGATGTACTCGGTAATAGGCAAATGTCTAAAATATCACATTCATAAAGAAACCTCTACCCCAGCTTCTTTCTTTAAGACTAATGAAGGGCTGCATCAGCCAGCACTAGAACAACACTAACCAAGGTCTCAGGGCAGCTGATGCCAGACAGGACCACCCATAGCAGAATCGGAGGTTGCACCAGGCTCCCAGAGTGCTTCACCAATAAGTTTGGGGTCAAACTACAGAAACACAGGAGAAAGAGAGCTGAGATGAACCAGAAAAAGCCCATCCCTTTGCTTCAGGCTGCACAAAGTTTAACTTAAATATTTTTTTTGCAAAAGTCCATCCAAGGTTCTCCAGGAGCTTTTCAGACTATGGTTCAGTCAGGCTCAGGTCAGTGGCAAACCACATAGAGGAAAAGGTCTAATTCAATAATCCCTTTAGTTCATTAAGCCCTCCCTTTTCACCACCATTGTGATTGTTTTCCTTTTAATAAGGTTTGGAAGAGTGATGAGAGATGTACCATTTGAAGTCTTGCTTTGGCATCAAGATTCAGGAAGCCCTGCAGTCATGAGAGTGCTGTGCAGTTTTCACAGGCACAAGGTTGTCCTGAAACAGCAAGGAAAAAGCACAGGAACCAGCACTCCTTCTCCAAGCTAGTGCCAAGACACAAGGAGTCAAGAAATTTATATAAATTTAACAGCAAACACAGCCTATACTCAGGTAACAACCTCCTTTGCACTCAGAGTTTAGGATTACTACTATGCAGATTTCCTCATTAACAGTCACAGGGTGAGAGCTTGTATTTGCACATGTGACAGCTGGTTGTACGCAGCTAATGGCCAATGTCCCCACCCTCCCCTCCCACAGTCAGCATGGCTCAGTGCATGCTGCAAGTCTTCCCATGCACAAAGTATGCAGAGGCAACATTAAAAACCAGGGCAACTAGCAGCAGTGCATTGCTGGTCTGGGGTCTTCTTCAGTTGGGCCTTCAAGGCAACATGAAACACAACAGATCAACGAGCAGAGAAAGTCCTCAGGTGGCCAAAGATTCATTGTAACAGGCAGAATCATTCCCTTCATCCTCTCTCCAGCCCCCACTTAATTGAGTAGCCTGGTAAATTGATGAATTACAGTTAAATGATCTTGCTGTGATGCCTCATGCTGATGAATGAAGAACACCCTGCCAGTTTCCTAATTTCAGGTGATGGATTTGAGCCGAGGCTGCATCACAATTCCTTATGACTGACAATCTCAGCTATTTTCACTCTTAATCTTGATATTATTTGATTGAATAAATGCAAGGTCATAATTTCCTAGGTGGATACAGTTGTTCAAAATACCAGCAGCCCTCTAATTACTTTTAACTGCATAAATAATAAATAAAAAAAAAGGTGAAGAATATTCATATAAGAGCTGATCATATCTCAGCTTTGTTGCTGGAAGATACCAACACCCAGAACACACCTTTGCTAGAGCATGAATGAGCAACTGTGAAGTTACATTTGTCATCTCACAGCCCTAAGCTCTTGTCATCCATCCCTCAAACCTCAGGGACACAGACCCCTGAGGACTAACATTTCTCATGATCAGTCACAGTCCAGAAAATTTTTGTCTTTTACTGTGTTAGAAGTTTGATAGGAGGCAGCTTGGCTGAATGGGAGTGTTTTGAAGACATAGGAAGCAGGGAAAGGAGAACTATTAATTTGCATCATTTTCTGTCAGCACACGCACTTTTATAATAGGGAGGACCTTAAAACTCCCACATTTGAGCCTTAGTGAACAGTTTGGGATACAACCTGATTTTTCCTTCCCATTTTCTTTGCCCTCAAAAGGCACAAACAGGAGCAAAAACTTCTCCAACTCGGCTGCACAGAACTTTCACACAGATCTCTGTACAACATCAGCTGGATTGAAAGATGTTGTGTCATGTGTGAAATATTCCAGTGCTTTATTGTGCAAGCTCCTAATTATTAATGTCTCGGCTCCACATTTCTGCAGCAAGATTTATGATGTAGCTTAGGGTGGTGGATTTGAACTAGTTTTCCCTCAGATCTATGGATGAGGAACCACAGAAATGTTTTCTATCCCCTCAATTTCTGCAGACTCCGGTGCAGAAAAAAAATAAGGAAAAAAACCAAGCCCCTCAAAAGAGGAATCTAGGTGAAAATTATCCTTCTCTGCCTCCACCACTACCACAGTAGCATAAGTGTCTTTTAAACAACTTCACAATGTCCCTTGGGGACAATACAGCCAAAGCTTTGCAAAATTGCACTGCTGTATCTGTTTTTAGGGGATATAAAGCACATGATTGCAAGTCTCATTCCTTCCCACCAAGGCCTCCCAAAACTGGTCCAGAAGCGCAACTGCAGCAGGAACAGGACACAGATGGTCCCCTGGGATCAGGAGAAAAGAGGCAGCTGATGCAAAAGCCAGTGGCCACGCATAACCCTTGTGAAGGGAGCCAGAAGCTGCCCCCATTGAACAATAGAAGGAAATGCTGTCACTGAGCTGACTGTTGTCTGTGCCTTCAAAACCAGCAGTTGGGGACAGAAAAGTCTTGCAAAGGAGAAGCAGAAAACTTCTGGGGATAAAGGGCTTTACTCCTGCATATGATTTTCACAGCAAACTGAAAGGGTAAAATTTTAAGTCTGGAAATGAAGTGATTTTGGAGGTACACACATGGTTGGAAAGTCAAATGAAGCTAATTCCCCTTCCTCCCCAAGAGCATGGTACATTAGAAAAACCTGTGCAGTAAGCAACCAGTACCCTGACTAGTGGCACACGCTGCTCTTACTGGTCTAACAGGGGTAGACACAAACGGCTTGTGCTCCTGAACTCAGTCATATTTATATATTCATATATCCATGTGTGTATATATAGACATGCTGAATCACCTTTTCTGCAAATCTAAAAGAAAACCCCATCTTTTTGCCCCCAGGATGTAGGATCTTAAAAGAATAATTTACATGTGCTATTGCAAAAGTTGCAATAAAATAAGCACTGCTGGTGTCAGTGAATTATAGGTGCTCGCTACAGGCAGGATAATGGGATTTCACTGTGTTTTGTTTCCTCAGAGGTAACTGCATTTTTATCAGGAGGTACAGGATATGAGGCTCTGACACTTCTCTCCTCTGATTCATACACTGGAATAAAGCAGAAATTTGATGGCATCTGCATTGCTGACTCAATCATGTATCTTCAGTGCAGATCTTGTTAGTGCCGGGAAAAAGGATTTGGAGTGGAAAGTGCTCTTCTTGCCTGCACATAGCCTGCAGTGCAGCCACAGCTTTGCTGTTGTGCCTCAAGACTGCACCAGTAAAAATAGGTAAATAAATAGAATAAATGCATTCCTGCCTCCATCCCACATCCACCAAGGCAAGGGTTTCCCCCACCCAAACCTGGCAAAGCAGATTCAACAAAAAAGAATTTCCAACTGTTCTGCCTTTGGAATATACTTTAAATTAAAAGAAAGCAAACCTTGCCCTATCTTCTCCCTGTGCTTTACACCCAACCAGCCTCAGAAAAAGGTAGAAGACAAACATTTTCTTGTTGAGGCTTATTCTACCTCCAAGTGGTTGTTTCCAGTCTGGATTTATTTATTGGATTTTTTTTAAGTTTGAGCTTTGGCACATCTAATTTTTATCCTTAGGGGGAATAAACAAGAACTGCAGTACTCCAGCAAGTAATGAAACAGGTTCTCCTCCAACTCTAAAAGTACAGAGTTGGGACTATGGAGGTGACACAGAAGATAAATTAATACCTTAGAGGATGCTAATGACACATGGGAGCCGTGCTTTCCAGCAGGCAGGCAGTTTTTTCCTCATCTCATGCTCTGGCAGCCCTTGGCAAACATTCACAGCCCCACATGCCAGACCCAGCATGGGATTGCTGCTCCTGTTCTCTTCCTGCCATGCCTCTACCACCCACCCACAGCTGCAATGGATGTAGCTCCTCAGCCTCTTCCCCGCTGTGGTCACAGAGCCAGAGGGACTGTGACATTTTCTGCACTCGAAGTGAGACATTTAGCAAGAATACAGATCTGCAGCTGCATGTATGGGTCTTCATACCCATGGCATGACCTAGTTTGGGTTACCTCATGTTGGACAAAGGCAATACTGAAGGGGACTGACTATACCTCATATCCCTATTTTATTCATCGAGGGTGCAAACAGGACCACAGAGTGTGTCAGACTAAATGTCTTCATTGCTGTCCTGTCTCTGGTGGAGACACTGTACAAAAAGGAAGAGGAGCTTGAGCCTTGTACATCCTCCCAACCCAGCCTGCTTGTGCACATGTAGCTGACATACATGACGTCCACACTCTGGAGACCTTTGGGGTGAGTCCAGAGGAGGCAACCCCATCGGCTGGTGAGGCAGCCCAGGCCATGCCAGATGTCAGCTCCCGCTCATCCACCTGGCCTGCAGCAACAGCCCCACCAAAACCAAGACCCAAAGGAGCCAAAGGATTTACAGCAAGCAAGAACAGACCTGGGGTTTATGGCCTCAATGCCCAGTGCCAGGGTTAGGCCTCCTTTCCATGGAAGTCGTGTCTCATCAAGCACAAGCCTTGGCTGAACGCTCACCCAGGCTGAGGCACGCCGAAAGGTTCTTCCTGGTGCAGCTTGGCTGGTGACTAATAACACATCCCTGTAATCACCTCTTCCCTCCATCACCCCAATCCTGCCAGCACCCACGCATCTTGCACAAATCCCATTGCATTCTCTTCCCTCTGAGACCCCACCACTCTACCAAATGTTGTCAAAACTGAGTCAAAGAATCATCAGAGATGGACAACAAACAGCATCTCATTAAGCCTCCAGGGTTTTGGGAACCACCTCCAACTATAGCCACCACTG